CCCACCACCGGAAACAAATTACGAAGAATCAAGTAAGATAAAGGAAAACAAAAGAATTTCAAATGTCAACTAATGTTGAAGTTAACTAATGACGAGTCAGCTAAGTAGAGCTCTGACGACCCGCTTTCGGATAAAAAAAAACATAAAAGAAAAAAAAATGAATGTCACCTATTGAAGTTAACTAATGTTGAGTCAGCTAACCAGAGCTCCAACTACACGCCACCGGAAAAAAATTAAATAAAAAAAAAAAAGATAAAAGGAATGTCAACTAATTGAAGTTAACTAATATTGAGTTAGCTAACCGAGACTCTGACCACCCAGGCCACCGCTGGAGGGAAAAATAATAAAAATAGAAATATTTGTTTTATTAAAATTATTATATTTTAAATAATTAAATAAAAATAATAATAATCAAAATAAAATAAAACAAACCTTAATTAGAGTTTGAAAGGGTAAAAATGGTATACACTAATTATTTGGGTTGATATCAAATGAAACTTAGAACTAATGAGTTTTACTAAAAAAATTAAAAAGGCTCGGGCTTATCCACATTATGTAAGCTAGTGAAGGGTTCAATTAATTAAATAGACTCTCCCTTTTCAAAATTTTGTTGCATTTGTACTTTGCCCAAAATTACAGTTTACGGGGTATTTTTCATCATAATCATGATCATATCAGTTAATGCCCAACGAATCATGATTGGTGCCTATCAACTACCTGTCATAATTCTCTAGATAGAAATGAAATGTGCGCAAGAACCTTAAATTATAGTTGACGTACAAGACGGTCCCATTGACAACACATGTCCCGATCAAACGAAATGATTGGTCCATCGTGACCTCTAATTTGTTTGATAACTGTGCGGACATTCTAAAGTCATGTATTCCTTTCGTGTGTGATTAAGAGAAATGCATTTCTCCAATCACCCCACTTATTTCTTACGCTGAAGACTGGAATATATACTGAAAGAATACACAGAACATCCATTCATGTACGCAAGCTGTCAAATCCATAGAATGCACAAACCCCCAGTATATTTTAGACTGTGCGACCGTTGGCTCTTGGAGAAGTCTTCGATGAAACTCAGGGACATGTCACAACACATTTGTTCCCCTAGGGAAGTCGTAGTGATGTATTAAGACATAAAGACTAATAGTGTACAACTATAATAGTAGAACCTCTCGATAAATGGGAATCACTTAAAGATTCTAGGACAAGGGAGTTCAGTGAACTCATCTACTATGAGCACCCACTCAAGTATGTTGATGTCTCTTCACTGTAGCTGATGGGACACATCTCATATACACTAAGTTCTAGTTTCAAAAGGGATAGCCACCATCCTACTTATTGGATCAAGTAGAAATTGGTTTAATAGTTACAATACTAAATGAACTATCTCATGATTCCCTAGACCAGTTCATAGTATATTAGAGTAACTCTAAGGTCTATATTATGCTCTTATGAGGACAAAATATATATAGTGACTAATATTGAGTTTTTTTTTATTAATACGAAATAGATTGTGTTATACAAGTAAGAGGAAAACCACAACCAAAAGTTGGCTTGCAGTTCGCCTACTCTAACAGTTACAACATATGTCTTTTAGACTCTTAATCAGAGTGTAATCGCTTGAAGATCTAAATAGACATGCAATGAGGTGATAGTGCTTGTAAATCTCCTATAAATAGGATCCATATGCTAATGGAATTGTCGGCATTTAAGACGTACTTGGGGTCACCAAAATTGGAGTCAGTGACGATGATGAAGGTTATGGGGCTACAACACTGGAGGTCATCGACGCAATGAATTTCGAAACAATCCCCATAATTGAATTGAATCAAAGAAGACAATATTTCAGTACTAACGTCATTTTTCCTCGATTCTTCAAAAATCACGAGAATAATATGAGATTGCAATTTTATCTCGAATTCAAAATCCCACGTCCTCCTGTTGGCCTAAATACCTAACACGCAAGTGCATGTATCGCAAACAAGTAGTACTAAAAGTAGACTCGTAAGAGTCGGATGTTGATCCCACAGGGAATACTCAAATTACCTAATCCTAAGTACCAAATTCTAACAATTATGATTTTTATCCAGCCTACGCAAGTTTGTCAAATTAAATCAATTAAACAATTAAACTAATTAAGAAAGCAAATAATCACGAGAAAATATCAATATAAAAACGGATCTAGGATTTTATCTTCCCCTATGCGATAATTCGTCACCCAATTAAACCTCTATCATGCAAGTTACGATTCCCGATTATTAACCCAAGACAAGAAATTACTCATAACCCGCTGTCGCGTGTATTATGAGTCTATTATTCATAAACGATTCACTATATGTCTATGCAAACCAAGTATGAATAAAGCATTAAATAACAAGTCTCGTAAACGGCTACCTAAGATATTATCTGTATGTCTACGATAACACATGCAATTGACACACTCATCCGGTGAAAACTACTCGAAGGCTCTCCTATCCTTGTTCTAAGTATTAAAACGATATGTCGATCCAATTCAAACAATAACACATAGCAACATAAATTAGCTACGGTCATGCGCTAAATAAGATCAAATAGAAGAAATAATCAAGGAATTTAAACTTGCATAATATTAGAAAAATAGGTTCGAATCACCACATAGGGTTCCAACAAAATCCTAGATTAAAAACTAAGCTGCTCATGTTCTCTACGAAAAGCATAATAAAAATACGATAAATCATAAAAGTTCGTAAATAAAAATAAAAGTAAAGGGAGAACTATGATTAAGATTCGTCAAGTCTTTGTCTTCGTTGCTCCGTTCTCTTGCTCCTAGATTGCGTGTAAAAAGATAAGATGCCAATTGTGTGCTTTTCTTGGCCTTTATATAGGGTGCCAAAAATATAAGAGGCGGTTTCCTTGTGTAATTTAACTTCCTTCACTGTGCCTCTTCGCGAACTCGGACGGCCGTGTCAAAATTAACGTTGAACTCGGACGGCCGTCCGGTCTTTTATTCTTCGAAGTTTTGATTTTTTTACTTTTGACCCACTTTTTCTCCGAAATTGCAGTTTTTACCCCATAAGTTTCCAATTCTTCAATTTGTACCTAAAATACAAATAATAACCATTTTAAGCACCAATTATCGTTAAAACACACCAAAAGCTCCAATTATAAGGTATGATTAAGTGTAAAAATATACACTTAACACACCCCCAAACTTGAACTTTTGCTTGTCCTCAAGTAAAATCAGTTTATAAGCACGAAACCCGACTACACGTCTCATTACATAGATCAATTGATCAATTTAACGCTTTCAGAACTTGTAATTATGATGATAATTTTTAGGCATTCGCAAGCTCAACATTCAACGGCACTTAGTCACTCACTATCACCAAAAACCACA